TCTATTTTTATTAAATCATGTACATTTTTGAACAATGTATATACAAATCTAATTTTTAAAACTATGTCTCCAACACAAGTGCAACTTAAAGTAAGTGTGCTAATATATTAAAAATGCATTATGATATACATATATTTTTCTGCAAAATATTAAATTAATTAAAATGACTCAAGTTCACGTAAGGTTAAATCTAATACATTATTATTTATTTCATAGTATAAAATATTTTTTGTATTATAAAAATAAAAATAATTGTATATTAAATGTATATTTATAGTCTATTTATATATTATATATAATTACTTATTATTGCTTATGTTTTAAGTCTGCAAAAAAGATGGCTGGCATACACAAAATAAATGGAAGGGTAGAATCTAATGCTACTAGACAAAAAAAATTTATTAGCTCTCAAATGAATACAGTATTTGAAAACCTACAAAATTTACGCAAGTATGTTATGGAAAGATTCAAAGTGATACGTACAAGATAAATTTATAATAAATGTTGTTTTTAGAGATGAAGTTTTTTGTGACGTGCAGCTCCAAACAAATGATGGTACAATTATATCCGCTCATAAAAATGTTTTAGCATCTGGATGTCCATATTTTTTTTCTATGTTCAATCAATTCAATGAGAAAAACAAATCTCTTGTAAACATCAAAGATATAMATTCAACCATTTTAAAACTCCTGGTGGATTTTATTTATACTGGTGAAATTGAGATCAGCGAGGAGAACATGATGGTATAAATAAATTTATTTGATAATTCAATAAAAAATTATTTATTAATTTGTATTTACATATAYATCCAGGAATTAATGCAAATGGCCAACATTTTTCAACTAGATTCCGTAAAAGCTCTATGTTGTGAGTTTATTAAAGCTAAACTCAATCCATCAAATTGCATAAGTATAAAAGATCATGCTGATTTGTATGATAATATGGAACTGTCGAAATGTTGTGAAGAATATATTAAAAAACATTTTTCGTATGATAGATATTATCCTATTTTYTAGTTTTATCTCTTAAATTGTATAAAACATTTAGATTATTATTTCAGAGAAGTGATTGAGCAAAATGAATTCTTATCTTTAACTTCTGAAGCCATTATTGATTTTATCTCCTCTGATGACATTGCTGTTCCGTTTGAAGAAAAAGTAAGCAAACTTCTTTATTGTATTTTATCATTATTGATTGAAAATTAATTAACTTTTTTATAAATATTAAATATTTAATGTAATCTTGTGCAGTGACAAATTGAAGGGAGTACTTGGGGCCAGTTGTACCGTCTACGGTTAAACTTTGATTACGCTTAATTAGCTGATAACAGATATTTAACCGTGCAAATTTGGCCGATTAAACTACGGTTAAAACTTTATCAGAGACGGTACAACTGGCTCTTGAACTCTTCTTTCACATAAAAATTGGTGTTTGCTCTGTATTTTAACATATCTCAATTTCTTATTAAATAAGTGTAATAWTTTTATTTATTTATTTATCTTAGTATTTATACGATAATGTCTAATTTATAATATAGAATAACAATAATAGTTAAATAATATTTGACAATCAATACATTTTAACTAATTCAACTTCAGTAGATAGTATA